ACAAGAACAAATTGAAATTTCAATCAACACCCTGATGGTCAGCAATGACCACTTATAGAAAATTAGGTTTAGGGTTTTGGCTATATCTTGTGCTGGTAATGATGTAATAACAAATCACCGTAAACCGTAAAAACCAACTATATATCTATATAGGATTCTATTACTCCTAATTAGTCCAACCACAATTAATTTAATTAATTGAATTTGACCCATATCAAAATGTCTAATGTAATAACTAGCTCCACCCAACTATTTAGCTTAGAACATATTCTTACACACAATAGTCGATGCATACTGCTCTAGGACAAATTGCTTACTCTAGTTACACGTTTAGCCGGAACAAATAAAGTTACATGTTAGAATTTGGGTATAATTTGAATTCTTTGTTTAGATATCCAAAAGTTGAATCACTTTTTTGTTTAGATATAAATTATAATAGGAGGTATAACTTCGAAAATTTCCATAAATGGAACCAATTCTGAATATGATCTACAATGATCTTAGCATACAATAGGTTGTTGAGTTTGCTCTTCTAAAACAATCTTTTGATTGTGTATGGAAGATTTTGTAATATTGTCTTGATTCGAAATTGCTTCCTGAACAAGATTTGGAGTAAGAATTTTTCCCTAGTCCCGATCATTGCCAATTACAACAAAAGAGATATGTCTTCAAAGACAAAATTTGTAGCCTTAAAATCTTATCTCCCCAACAAACTCTACATCTTCAAGGAATCAAACATTTTTCGTTTCAAAAATTGACATAATATTGGGATCTTTAAAATTTATAACCCCATAACAATTATTTTACTCGGAACTTTATTGAAAATTTAAGAGGCAGTCTTTAGTGCTTCAATCTACAGAAATTCTAGTGTAGTGTGAGACGATTCCATATTCTCCTAGGAATTTTAGCAAAAGGCCTTAGACATTGTTCTTCTGATCCGTCATATCTGCCATAGTATTTCACCACCACTGCCATTTATGACGTGTTTCATTCTTTTGCTGTGTTGAGTTTCAACTCCATTTTGATAAGCCTCGAGCATGTCCAGTGATTAGGATTTCTCTTGAATTAGATACATGTAGCCATAGTGAGAAAATTTCATCTACGAATATAATAAATTACTATTAATCATTCCAAGAAACCAAAGGAAATGATCTACATATATCCATTTGAGTTAGTTCTAAGACATCCAAAGTTTTATCTTCTTATGTTTGTTTGTTGTTCCTTAATATAATTAACATAAATACTTGAGTTTGAAAATTAAAGGAATCAAGAATTCATTCTGACACAAAATTTTTCATTTTCTTTTGAGCGAAGTGACATAATCGTTTATGTTATAACGAAGCGAAATTCCCATTGGTTAATTTATGATTAATACCACGTGAATTCACATGCAAGATTTCTTTATAAGAGGTAACTGTATTAAGTGGATATATGTTATTATAATCGAATAAAGAATTAGTACCTACAATATTTGAATTAAATAAGGACTGAACTAACTATTTTCAATTGAACAAAAATAACCGAATTTTTTCAATGTAGAAACAGGAACCAAATTTCGTCCAAAAAGACAGTACTGTATATGTCTCTTTCAAATTTAAGTATTAACAAGTCTTTAATAATAACAAAAAAGTTCTTATAGCCTCAACTGTAACTGATTAGCAATTGCCCCACATAGATGAATCTTTCAACATCAATTGACTTTAGGTTGTTTAGGCAACCTGCATGGACACGCTTATTTGAATAGTGAAACCGAAA